TTGTGGGGGAGGGTCTGACTGTCATAGAAGATGACAGGTCATGTGCATGTTATTGTCTCTTTTTTCTTTCTTTTTGTTTTCCTTCTTTTTTTTTTTTTTTTAAAAATGGAGTCTCACACCGTCGCCCCGGCTGGAGTGCAGTGGCACGATCTCAGCTCGCTGCAACCTCCGCCTCCTGCGTTCAAGCAATTCTCCTGCCTTAGCTTCCCAAGTAGCTAGGATTACAGGTGCCTGCTACCACACCTGGCTAACTTTTTGTATTTTTAGTAGAGACCGGGTTTCACCATGTTGGCCAGGCTGGTCTTGAACTCCTGATCTCAGGTGATCCGCCTGCCTCAGCCTCTCAAAGTACTGGGATTACAGGCATGAGCCACTGTGCCCCGCCTCTTTTTTCTTTAGCATAAGTATTTTGAGATCCATCTATGTTTCCATGTGTATCCGTAGTTCTTATTGCTGAATAGTATTGCATTGTATGGATATAGCCAAATTTATTAATTCATCTATTGGTGGATATTTGGGTTGTTTGCAGTTTTCAGTGATTACAAATAAAGTGTCTGAACATTCGCATTTCCCTGCTGTGTGAACATGTGCTTTTATTTTTCTTGGGTAGATATCTAGGAGTAGATTGGCTGGATCTTTTGGTAGGTGTGCGTGTTGCTAACTTTTCAAAAGATTGTGAAACTTTTCTTTTCTTTAAAAAACAAACAAACAAACAAAAAAACATTCCCACCAGCAGGACGTGAGAGTTTCAGTTGCTCCAATTCTGGGTCATTACATGGTATGGTCAGTCTTTAAAATTTCTAGCATTCTGGTGGGTATGTAGTGGTAGCTCATTATAGCTTTGATTTGCCCTTTCCTGGTGACTAATGATTTGGAACACCCTTTTTATGGGCTTATTTTTGCAATATTTGTATCTTGGGGAAGTTTCTGTTCAGATCTTTTACCTGTTTCAAAAAATGTGTCTTGGACTGGGCGCATTGGCTCACACCTGTAACCCCAGCACTTTGGGAGGCCAGGGCGGAAGGATCACTTAAGCCCAGGAGTTTGAGAGCAGACTGGACAACAGAGCAAGATCCCCTTCTCGGCTGGGCATGATGGTTCATGCCTGTAATCCCAGCAGTTTGGGAGGCCGAGGCAGGAGGATCACTTGAAGTCAGGAGTTCAAGAACAGCCTGGCCAATATGGTGAAACCCCATCTCTAGTAAGATTACCAAAAAAAAAAATTTTTTTTTAAGACTCCCCCCCTTCTCTACAGAAGAAGAATTTGTTTTTAATTAGCTGGGCATGGTGGTATGTGCCTATAGTCCTAGCTACTGGGGAGGCTGGGGCAGGAGGATTGCTTGAGCGCAGGAGTTTAAGGCTACAGTGAGCTGTGATTGTGCCACTGCACTCCAGCTTGGGCAGCAGAACGAGACCCTGTCTCTAAAATAAAATAATGTGTTTTGTTGTAAAAGTTCTTTGTATATTCTAGATATGAGTGAGGCATTTATTTTGTTTTGCAAATATTTTTTCCCAGTCTTTGGTTTGCTTTTTCATTTTAGTAACTGGGTTCTTCTGTAGTTTGATTCTTCTTCAGTTAAGCTTCTCTACTAAGTTTTTTATTTCAATAATCAGAATATGATACCTGATTTTTGAAAATTATCCTTCACCTTCTACGGTTTTAATTATGCTTATTTTTCTTTGTTCTATTTGCTGATACGGCCCAGTGTTTTCAGGTATTGCTGTCTTCGTTGAGTTTCGTACTTTTCTTTATGGATTAGTTGTATCTTGAATGTGTGATAATAACTGGTTTTGTGCTCCTCTTCTTGTGTTTAGACTTTCCTGTTACAACATTCGGGGATGGAGGTAGCCTGTAGAGCCAAGAGCAGCCTGGGTGTGGAGGCTGTCTGCTCCTTTAACCTTTCACCAACCCTTTCAGAACATTGCCCACTTTTTCAGCCCAAGCACCCAAGCTCCCTGTTCCTACTTCAAGCAGATGCTGCTGCTACTGTTGCTAGTTGCTTGGCACCAGGGACTCAGGCATACTGAGAGAAGCAAAGCTGTGCTCATCTGACTGCTCCTGCTCTGGTACTCCATCTCATAACCTAGTCTTTGACCCAGAGCTCCCTCCTCTCCATCTTTGGTGAACCAACTACCTTATTTCTGGGTGGCCTTCTCTGATGTCCCTTTTCTTCCTCTCCCTGCTAGAGAGGATTCTTTTTCTGTTTTTTTCCTAGCATCCAGTATCTATAATTCATTGTTTACATGTCTGTCATTTGTAATAACTGAACTCTTATAGAGAAGCAGCAGATATTCACATGTGAGTGTCTATCACCCTGAATAACACAGACTATTTGAATGAGACATTTTTATTTAGAGAATGGGAGTTTTAATCAGAAAAGACAATAGAGCTTGAGACTCCCTGGGAGAGCAGGCCAGGTAAGGTACCACATGGAGAGATACTGGTCTGTTTCTTTTACTGGTAGGTTAATCTTAGGCAGGTTATTTAATCTTGTTTAATCTTTTTATATTACAATAATTTTAATTATATAAAATGTGAGAATGTGTGTATACATACATATATCTGCATACATTTTATTAAAACAGTACATGTTCATTGGGTTTCGGTTTTTGTTTTTTGTTTTGAGACAGAGTCTCACTCTGTCACCCAGACTGGAGTGCAGTGGCACAATCTTGGCTCACTGCAATCTCTGCCCTCCCGGACTCAAGCGATTCTCCCACCTCAGCTTCCCGAGTAGCTAGGATTACAGGTGCATGCCACCACGCCCAGCTAATTTTCATATTTTTAGTAGAGACCAGTTTTCACCATGTTGGCCATCTGGTCTTGAACTCCTGACCTCAAGTGATCTGCTTGCTTTGGCCTCTCAAAGTGCTGGGATTATAGGCATGAGCCACTGTGCCTGGCCAACAAATGGTTTTTTAAACAGTACTGGGACAACTGGATATTTCTATGCAGAACAATGAAGGTGGACCCCTACCTTAAACTGTATACAAAAATTAACTCAAAATGGATAAAAGACCCAAACTTGAGAGCTAATTTATGAAATTCTTAGAAGTAAACATAGACGCAAGTCTTTATGACCTTGGGTTAGTCAGTGTTATTTTAGATATGCCACTAAAAGCACAAGCAACCAAAGAAAAAATAGATAAGTGGTACTTCATCAAAATTAATAACTTTTTTGTTTAAATAACATTATTACGAAAGTAAAAGGATAACTCGTGGAATGGGAGAAAATAATTGCACATTATATATTTGATAAGGGGCTTGCATCTATATATAAAGAACTTTTAAAACTTTGGGAGGACAAGCTGGGTGGATCACTTGAGGTCAGGAGTTTGAGACCAGCCTGGCCATGGCCAACATGGTGAAACCCCGTCACTTCTAAAAATACAAAAATTAGCCAGGAGCGGTGGCAGGCGCCTGTAAATCCCAGCTACTTGGGAGGCTGAAGCAGGAGAATCACTTGAACTGGGAGTCAGAGGTCACAGTGAGCCAAGATTGTACCACTGCACTCCATCCTGGGCAACAAGAGTGAAACGCCATCTCAAAGAAATAAAATACTGATGTTTCTTCATCATTTAAGTCCATGTTAGTTTGTTTGTTTTTTTTTAGTTTGGTTTTTGAGATGGAGTCTCATTCTGTCGCCCAGGCTGGAGTGCAGTGGCATAATTTTTAGTGCACTGCAGCCTCTGCCTTCCGGGCTCAAGTGATCATCCCGCCTCAGCCTCCCAAGTAGCTGGGACTATAGGCATGCACCACCATGTCCAGCTAATTTTTTGCATTTTTAGTAGAGATGGGGTTTCACCATGTTGGCCAGGCTGGTCTTGAACTCCTGACCTCAACTGATCTGCCTGCCTTGGCCCCCCAAAGTGCTGGGATTACAGGCGTGAGCCACTCTGCCTGGCCCATGTTAGTTTCTTTAGTTGGATAATGACTTAAGGAAATTTCTTGAAAGATTTTCAACTAACTAGGGAACGTTAGTAATATGATAGGCACTATTTAGGCTGTGTTTGCTGTTTTCTGCTTACATCAAGTAGCACTGAGGCGGGCATGGCACATTGAACAGGTTCCATGAACACTATCCATGACTAAGTCAGGACGCCACCCTTTAGATCCCCATCAGCAAACTACATCTGAGTAACTAAGTTAACTGACATTTTACACCTGGGTAAGAGTAGCAATTTACAACTTCTGTTTTTATTTTCTGGTATTTTTTCTCTTAGTGGGGGAAGAGGTAGTTGATAAAGTATCATATTTATATGTGAGACTAACTAGTTTAAGTTTTTAAAAATTAGGTTTGGTTCTTGGCAGAAGGATCTTGTTCAAGTAAGGAAAATTCACTTTAGTGCTGGAAATAACTTTTTTACTTGTTTCTAATGGCCACTAGTATATGGCATTAGATTTGGGACATAGCTATTAATTTGTGTACATATTGTATGAACGTAATTCTTTATACTCATTATTTTCATTGTGTAATTGTTCTGTAGAAAGCAGATTTGGAGACAGTTTGTTCATATCTGCTATATATTTATTTGCTTTGTAACTATTTTGTAAATATAATTTACATTATTTTCCTAGAAATTTAAAATCAAAATGTTCAAAACAGTATTGTGATAAGAGTATTTTAAGATGACTTAAAAACACTGCTAAATAAACTCTTAGCACTTTTGTTTCAGACATCTCCACTTTAGTGTCAACTGCATGGGTCAGCAAACTACTGTGGCCCCAATCTGCCTATTTTTGTAAGCAAAACTTTATTGGAATACAGCCACACTCATTACATTTATGTTTCTGTCATCCTTGGTGTAGAGGATTTTATCCCTTCATTCCTGCAAATACCTGGATCTCAAAGATCTTATAAGATCTTTAATAAGATCTTATTTTAATAAGATCAGTATCTTATTAAACTGGCCTGTGGGCCTTCTGTGTGTTTCATTTCTCTCTATAGCAAACTGATTACTTCTTTGAGATTGGTCTTCCTTTTCTTTTTCTGCAACAGGATCGCAGTATGTGGTAGGGAAGTGATGCTGTCTGAAGGTGACATCCTGTTCTCCTCTCTTCTGTCCTCTCGATCCTTATTTTGGCCACCTGGTAATTGTGGGGGAGGGGTAGAATGCTTGTCTAAATTATAAAATGAAATTGCTTGGGGTTGGGGGAGATTCCTGCCATGCAGTTGAGAAATAAAAGTTACCTGGCTTTCAGTACAATCTGTTTTGGGGTCATGGGGTGTTTTGAGAATCAGAAGAAAGTTGTGGAACCACTCCCCGGGGGGCGGGAAAGAATATATTCAGAAATGTATTATTACAGAAATCTTTGATCAGTTTTTAAACATTGAAATACAAGTGACTTTACCAATGTATTCTAATATACTTGTCGGCAGCCACTTCTGGTGTTAGAACTTTGAATATAGACATTTTAGAAAAATAATTGATTTTAAGTGTTCCCAGAATAAGTCACTGGTTCAGGATAGATCTATCTTAGTGTTCCCAAATTGTGAAAGGAAAAAGATTAAGCCCTTAATGTTGAAACGTGTGTCTCCCAAATCTTGCATTGTGCTTGGCAGTAGAGCTGTGAAATTCCGTTGATCAGAGGGCTTGTTTCTGGCCTTATTCTTTTTTCACTTCTGCACGAGCCCTTCCATTTGACCAGTGTGTCCTAAACTTTATTCATTGAATGCTATCTTCATGAGTTTGCCTTCTCTGCATATTTCCTGATATTCTTTCAATGAACTCAGTTTTAAAAATATATATATGTAAAATTTTTAAATATGGAACGACTCACAAATTTGCATGTCATCCTGGCACGAGGGCCGTGCTAATCTTCTCTGTATCGTTCCGCTGTTAGTATATGTGCTGCCGAAGTGAGCACTTAATTTTTTGTAAAGACAAAGTGTTGTCTGGCCTGGTCCCAACTCCTGGGCTCAGGCGATCCTCCCATCTCAGCCTCTCGAAGTGCTGGGATTACAGGTGTGAGCCATCAACTCACTTTTTAAAACTTAAATTTAAGCAAATAATTACTGTCTGTGAAATATGGGTTTCATGTACTAATTCTTTTATATTCGCCACTTAAAGGAACATGTAAATATTGGGGGTTTTGTTTACCTAAAACCATCTTTTATCTTTTTAGAGGGCATCAACTTCATTTTGGGAAACATTCCCCTATGTGCTGGAATTTTAAAGCTTTGATTTTGAACCAGAGTATGAATGGTGGAAGCTGCTTTAACTTGGAAATACCAGAGGAAAGGAGGGATCATGGGATGGGTGGGTGCTGCCTGCTGAAATACCCCTTGCTTGGGCAAATTTATGTGTCCTGAATATGAGGATATTTGGCTATGTGCATGGCAAAGCTTGGGCTCATACCCTTGCAAGAATAGTTGGTTTGTTCTTTAACCTGGCCAAACAGGTATACACACACACATGCGTGCACATTTCATACATTTTATTTTCTTTTACAGGTTTGATCTTACTCTTCTACCTAGTTTTTTATGGGTTCCTGGCTGCACTCTTCTCATTCACGATGTGGGTTATGCTTCAGACTCTCAATGATGAGGTTCCGAAATACCGTGACCAGATTCCTAGTCCAGGTAATTATCTTGCAGTTATGACTTTTTTTTTTTTTTGTGACAGAGTTTTGCTCTTGTTGTCCAGGCTGGAGTGCAATGGTATGATCTCGGCTCACTGCAACCTCCGCCTCCTGGGTTCAAGCGATTGTCCTGCCTCAGCCTCCCAGGTAGCTGGGATTACAGGCATGCACCACCACACCCGGCTAATTTTGTGTTTTTAGTAGAGAAAGGGTTTCACCATGTTGGCCAGGCTGGTCTCGAACTCCTGACCTCAGGTGATCCACCCACCTCGGCCTCCCAAAGTGCTGGGATTACAGGGGTGAGCCACCACACCCGGCCTAAACAGTCTTTGAATGCCAGCTCTCCCTTGGTGATTGGACATGACCCTTGTCCTCAGATGCTGGTAATTCTTAGAAAAGTAAGAAATAATAATGTGCAGAACTTCAGTGTCTGTAATTCCAAAAACTGTAAACTAACTGCTAGAGATGACAGAGAAAGGAAGGTTCTACCTAGAGAAGAAGGTTCAGTCCTAGAGGAGCGGGATTTAGAGGGCAGGAGAGTGGGGAATCAGGCCAGGAAGGTGGGAGTCGAGCAGGTTTCTCTCTAGAGCAGCGGTTTTCAACCACTGGGTCATATGGCAGCATCTGGAAATATTTTTGGTTGTTACAGCTGGAGAGGGTACTGTGAGTAGAGGCCAGGGATGTTGCTAAACATCCTACAGTGCATAGGACAACCCCCACAACAGATAATTAGCCCAAAATGCCAATAATGCCGAGATGGAAGCACCCTTATCTAGATCCTTGCTCACTGTATAGACTTCTGAGCTATATCACCAGCCAAACTGAACTAATTTCCTCAACCGTTTTTTTTTTCTAGAAGAACAATTTTTTCTAATGATTTCTTTTGTTTACACCTAATCTTAGTCTAAATATCCTGAATAACTCTTTTAAAGCTCTTAGTGTATTGGAGCAAGGGTCAGAGATTAGCTCCGATGCTACTTTTCCCTCATCTCTCATTGTAGTCCTGTTTTTTTTCTACCTTAGACTAATTCTAAGATTATTCTTTACTTGCTATTTAAGTGATGTGACTTACCATTGAACATAGTCTCATCTATTTCAAAACCACTGAACTCTGTTTATAATTGTATGAAATATGTAAGTATATGTGTTAAATATTTTTAAGTACAGTTTTAAACTGAGTTTCTTAAACTTATTTGTCGATTATTTTAGTACTTAAAGTATCGTTAGTTTAAATAAATATATATACATGCATACACATGTACATATGTATATATTACATATGGGATATATTAAACATTTCCATATTTAATATAGCACGTGTGTACATGTAATACATATATAATATGTATGTGTTGTATATTATATACATATAATATGTATTATATGTACATGTGTGATATATTAAGTATGGGAATGTTTGAAGACTAGAGAAAATTTTAGGATTGTTTTAAAGCCTATGTGCAAGGTTGAATTAATAATCTAGATCTAATGCTTTTTGTTTTGTTTTTTCGTTTTTTTTGTTTGTTTGTTTTGTTTTTTTGAGATGGACTCTCGCTCTGTCACCCAGGCTGGAGTGCAATGGCACGATCTCAGCTCACTGGAACCTCTGCCTCCCGGGTACAAGCCATTCTCCTGCCTCAGCCTCCCAAGTAACTGGCACTACAGGCATGCGCCACCACACCCGCCTGATTTTTGTATTTTTAGTAGAGACGGGGTTTCACTATGTTGTCCAGGCTGGTCTCAACCTCCTGACCCTCAAGTGAGCTGCCCGCCTCGGCCTCCCAAAGTGCTGGGATTATAGGCGAGAGCCACTGCACCCAGCTGGTCTAATGCTTTTTAAACAAGGAAAGCTTATATTAAAGTTGGAAGCCTGATTGTTTCTTACCGATAAATCTACTTGCCTTTTCTTCATTAGTAAGCTTAAGCAACGTGGTCTGTATTACATGGGCGTCGACTTCTGATAGGAATTGTTAGTGGTTATACTCCAAATTCAGTATGTGAAAACCACATTTTGATTACAGAGCAATATCTGCTATTGAAGGAAGAATATTTGCCATAAAGTTTAAAATGCATAGACGTTGTTCGCTGAAAAGGAGTTAGCTGTCTTATGAATGTTTCCATACAGTTGTAATTTAAATGACAAAAGTACTTAGGTTTTGATTTGCTAAAATTTTTTTCTTTGTATTAATGGCACATTGACAAAACCTAAAAATGTTATTTGATTTTTTAAAAATGAATATAGAAAGTTCAAAGTAAAATTGCATCTTTTAAAAAGGAAGATTATAATTAACTGTAGATAATCAAATTTAGGGATGGTTTCTAATCGGTAATGTCTGAGATAGTTTTGAAGGTTTGAATTCTTTTTAATTTTAGATGTCTGTGCCTTCATAATTAGAATTGGGAAGTTCTTGATGGTTTCAGCATACTATCAACACAATTTTCCATGTAATTTGCTGAGATCTGCTTTTTAGAGATAAAAGTAAGGAAAAGAAGAGAAGGAAATTTGATAATCTCTCCCTTTTATCTCTTTATAGGACTTATGGTTTTTCCAAAACCAGTGACTGCATTGGAATATACATTCAGTAGATCTGATCCAACTTCTTATGCAGGGTACATTGAAGACCTTAAGAAGTTTCTAAAACGTGAGTATGTTTTCTTAGAGTAAGGTCAGAGATTTTAATTATAGAAATTAGTACCAAATTGTGGGGCGGGCACGGTGACTCACACCTGTAATCCCAGCACTTTGGGAAGCCGAGGCGGGCAGATCACCTGAGGTCAGGAGTCTGAGACCGGCCTGGCCAACGTGGTGAAACCCCATCTCTACTAAATGTACAAAATTAGCTGGGTGTGGTGGCATGCGCCTGTAATTCCAGCTACTCGGGAGGCTGAGGCAGAAGAATCGCTTGAACCTGGGAAGCAGAGGTTGCAGTGAGCCGAGTTCGCGCCACTGCACTCCAGCCTGGGCAACAAGAGCAAAACTCTGTCTCAAAAAAAAAAAAAAGTACCAAGTTTGTGATTACATTTAGAGACATCATTCTTAGAATGTGTATTACCTTTTGGGCCGGGTGCGGTGGCTCACACCTGTAATCCCAGCACTTTGGGAGGCTGAGGTGGGTGGATCATGAGGTCAGAAGATCGAGACCATCCTGGCTAACACGGTGAAAAACCGTCTCTACTAAAAATACAAAAAATTAGCCGGCAAGGTGGCGGGTGCCTGTAGTCCCAGCTACTCGGGAGGCTGAGGGAGGAGAATGGCGTGAACGCAGGAGGCGGACGATGCAGTGAGCCAAGATTGCACCACTGTACTCCAGCCTGGGCGACAGAGCGAGACTCCGTCTCAAAAAAAAACACAGCATGTGAAAGAATGTGTATTACCTTTTATTTCCTTCTGTTAGACAACTGAACAAGTGCATTTTATAATTACTTGTGAGACTATTCTAACTATAGAAAGACACAGGGGCTTACTAATGGGCAGTAGATTTGATTTTTCTGCCTTTAATAAGTACACTAAGTTTCTTGAGATGTAACATTTATTCTGCATTAAAACTAAATATTTTAATTAATAGAGCAAATCTATATTGTATGAAATAGTTCCTCTGAGGACTTGGATCTTTTGCGTCCAATGTAGTGTTTGTGTCGGGGATGGGAAATGGTTTATTATTTTAAAGTTATATCTGTGTCTGATTTTCAGTACATCAGTTTTTCAAAGTTACCAGTTTGTAACATCGTTTGATAGCCATCCTAGCCCAACTTTTCCTCCTGTTTTGTTTGGCCCAGCCATTTATGTGAATGATGTTAACAGTCACATGAGTAATCATCGAATACCCTGGCCTGCTGGTTCGTGATCAGCTCATCTCTTCCTCAGCCACACACAACTGCAACTGCTCCCTAGAACATTACCTTGTCTCATCTCCCACCCCATCTTCCCTTTTATGTAGCTTAATTCCATGGCTTGTATTTCATTTTTACTTTTACTGGTGCTCTAAAATCCCAGACCTGTCAGTCTTCATGTCACACCCTGTGGCAGAACCCCACTCCTGGATAAAGCCATATAATTACTGGATGTAGCTCATCCTTCTGTGCCCCTGCCCCTGAGCAGATACTGAGCAGGACTGATTAGCACTGTGAGTATTTGAGCACCTCCCTCAAATGGACTTGCTTCACTGCTTGGTAATCCTATGGAATTTCTCTGGATAATTCTCTGAAAGGATTATTTCCAACTTTCAAGCCTTTAACCCCTTACCTTTTTCCTTATAACTCACTCTCTTCATATAACCTGATTTCTTGCTTCAAGAGATAATAGAAGAACTCAGATGGGAGCTCCTCCAGTTTCCCCATTACCAGTAAAACAGATCTACAATGGCAGCCATTTTATGTCACATTCCTCCTGCTCTGATCGGGGGCTGCCCTTCCTCTCACTTGAGGCCACCTGTGTCACTCCTGCTTTGGATCTCATCCTCTCTCAATGTCTAAGAAACATACTATGTACTCTCTCTTCTTGTGTGTATTTAGCCTTTCTGTCTTTATTGGATCCTTCCTATCAACTTGAAAAAAATCTTCAACTCTCTCCTATCTTAAACCAAAAGCTGCTTTTGATCCCACATTATCTACTATCTTCCTAATCTCTTTTCCTTGACAGTAAATATGTATTATTTAAAAAAGACTTTTGTGAAAGTATTATCCATGGTTTAATAGCTAAAAAGGTCTGCAGTGAAGTGTTCCCTGCCCTCCTCCCTTCTAGCAGAAGTCCTATTAATTTATTCACATATTTTTTGAGGGCCTGCTTTGTGGCAGGCACTCATTTGGGTTCCAACAATGAATAGAAGAAAAATTCCTGTCTTTCTGGAGCTTAGTCTCGTGGTGAATTAGAAAATAATACGTCTTGAGGGGGAAAATAAAGCAGAAAAAGGAGATAGGGTAAGTTGGGAAGGATTGTGGTTTTACATGCAGAGTGGTCTAGGAAAGCCTTATTGAAAGGGAACCTTGAGGGAAGAGCAGAAGGAGGTGAAAGAAGTAGGCATGGAAATGCCCAGCAGAGGAAGCAGTAGGTGCAAAGGCCCTGAGGCTTATGGTGCTGATGTGTTGAACATTCATCAAGGAAGCAAGAGGGGGTGAATGGAGTGAGCCAGGGGAGAGTAGTAGGAGATTGAGGTTAGGGAGTTAAAGGAGGTCCAGACTGTAGGTCCTTAGAACCCGTTGTTAAGTTCTTTGGCTTTTACAGTGACCATGATGGGGAATTTTAAGCAGTGAATAATAACATGATCTAATTCAGATTTTTAAAGGATCCTACGAGCAGCTCTTTGAAACTAGACTAGAAGGGGGAATTGGGGAAGCTAGTTAGGCTCTTACAGTAATCCAGGTAAGTGGAGCAGGTGGCTTGGCAAGGGAGAGAGCAATGGAGTTTGTGAAAAATAGTCTTGATTCTGGACACGTTTCTTTTCTCTTTCTTTCCTTTGTCTATTTGTCTGAGATGGCGTCTCTCTCTGTCACCCAGTGGCATAATCACAGCTCACTGTAGCCTCAGTCTCCTGGGCTCAAGTGATCCTCCTGTCTCAGCCTCTTGAGTAGTTAGGACTACAGGCTCACATCATCACACCTGGCTAATTTTTTAATTTTTTGTAGAGATGGGGTCTCGCTATGTTGCCCAGGCTGGTCTTGAACTCTTGGCCTCAAGCGATCCACCCACCTTGGCCTCCCAAAGTGCTGGGATTACAGGCATGAGCTACTGTGCCTGGCCTCTAGATATATTTTTGGTAGGGAATAATTTCATGCTTCTGAACTTTTTCTTACGGTGTTTTCCTTCTGTATCTATAAATATTACACTTTTCCTGCTGGTTCTTGATTTTTTTACTTCTATACATTATCACTTTATTATCACTTTTATACATTTTCTTTACTTAGTTCACATGTCTCAGACCTTCCTCCCTTTCTTAATTGATTACTATTTTCAGTGTCATTATTGGTTGCTTTTTTATACCTGGTCTTTATATCTTCTTCTATCATCTGTAGATACTCTCTTCTGACTTCCTTATTTGTAAACTATCATTTGAGGTATTTTCTTGAGTCTCTTTTTTCTGGAAAACTACTTCCTGGAGCCCTTTCCCTCCTGCTGCAGTCTGTACTATTTCTACATCAGCCTTTTACTCCCAACTGTCCTTTGGGGAACTTCCTTTTGCCACTTTCTTTTGTTGGACCCACTGTTTCTTGGCTCTTGCCCTGCCCTTTTTTTTTTTTTCTTCTCTTAATTTACTCCTTAGTTTTGATGGAGTACATTCTCAGGTAATTTTATAAGAAAAGACACCAGAAATGTAAATTTGGACCCTTTTATTTCGGAAAATGTCTTGTTTCTGCCTTTATATTTGCTAGTGTACCTCCATGTAGAACTCAGTTCTTTGTATTTGCCTTTTTTCTTCTGAAAGTTTTTCATTTTCTTTTTCAATTTTCTCTATCTCTTTTGGGTTCTAAAATTTCTCTCTGGATCTCTGTCTCTAAAATATTTTGCTGAGACTTGATTGCAGGTCTCTCAGGATGAAGACTTAAGTTCTTCAGTTCAGGGAAATTATCCTCTGGTAACACTTTGATAATTTCTTCAACTCAATTTTCTGGTTTTCTCTTTCTAGAACTATTCTGTTTATTGTGTCTTAGACCTCTTGTTTTTCTCTTATTTTGTTTTGACTTAATTAGACTTTCTGGGGGATTTACTTTAATTTTCAACTCTTTTTTTGTTTCTTAAAACATTCAACTGCTGTTGATCCTTATGTGCTCCTTTTTCATGTTTGAAAGATACTATATCTGGTTAAAACATAATGTCTTCTCTGTTTTTTTCCTGCAGATACTAATTGAACCTAAAGTTTTATTTTGTTCCAGTTATCTCTTTCCTTTAGGGTCATTCATTCCTCCTGTTATCTTGGTCTTTTTTGTTTGTTTGTTTCCTTCATTAAGACAGTCTTACTCTGTTGCCCAGGCTGGAGTACAATGGCTTGATCTCAGCTCACTGCAGCCTCACCTCCTGGGTTCAAGTGACCCTCATGCCTCAGCCTTCCAAGCAGCTAGGATTACAGGCTTGCGCCACCACACCTGGCTAATTTTGGTATTTTTAGTAGAGACAGGGTTTCACCATGTTGGCCAGGCTGGCCTCGAACTCCTGGCCTCAAGTAATCTGCCCATCTCAGCCTCCCAAAGTGCTGGGATTTCAGGCATGAGCCATTGCACTTAGGCTTTGGTCTTTCTTATTTTAGGCTTTCTTCAGATGCATAGGGCTCTTTGGTTACTCTGGGTTCAGTGACCTTTCTGTGTTCCCATCATGCCTTCTGCATAATCTAACTGGTCGTCATACAGTTCCTTACACTTAATAGTATGGAAGTGGAAGTCAGCATAATGAAAAAAAATACGAAAGGTCACTGATGAACTGACCTAAACCAGCAGAGTCTATGCAGTAGAAGCCCTTGGGGAAATTGGTGAAGGAAATTGGTGAAGGACTTTTTTTGCAAAGTGTTGAGTGTCATGATGCTGTTTTGTTATAAAGTTTATCTCTACCCCCACAAAATACCTGAATCATTCTTTGCTTTTAAATGAGTACATAGTTCCCACAGTAACCTAGTTTCGGATAAGCATAAGATGAAACCAAACATTTTGACAGTGATTTTTTTCCCCCCAAGGTAAAGACTTTACACTTCCTTTTTGAGGCATACTCTTTGAAATTTGGTTCTTATTTTGGTTGAATTCAATACCTTTTTCTGGTACCAATTGCACCCACACACCGATAGTTCTTACTGAGGCACTGTTATATCTTAATTATTTATTAGTAAGTGTTGTTCACTAGAGTAAGCTCATTGAGGGCAGGGATCACATCAGGCTTGCTCACTGTGTGCCTCTTGGACTAAACACTGCCGAGTACAGAGCAGAATTGTATTGTCTGTTGCATATTTCTCCTCCCTCTTCCCTCCCATTGCCAAGTTCTAACCATTTTACTCCTTTATCACTGTAGACTCCATCTCTGCTAAAAACCCCCTTCTATGAGCTAGTTGTCTCTCACCTGGGCTGTTTTAATAGTCTCCTAACTCGTTTTCCGGGTCTCTTCTTTTTCCCTTCTGGACTGACCCCACAGAGAAGTCAGAGTTAATTTCATAAGTATGTTCATACTATCCACTTGCCCTGGTTTAAAATATTTTAGTGGATTGTTAATTGCTGTTTGGCAGAACACTCACCCGCACCCCTCAAAATTCTTTAATACAGTTTACAAGACTGTGTGGTCTGGCTTCTACCTTCCTTCATTGGAAGTGCTTCTCCTAACTTCATTAACTACCACATTCCCGTCTGCATTCAGCTCAGTTGCTTTTTTTTTTTTTTAAGTGTAGGTTGTCATAACACTATGTCTTCATACCTCTGCAATTCTGATTTTATACTCACTTAATGTCTGTCTTCCCCACAAAACCGTAAGCTCCATGAGGGCAGCAGCAGTGCCTTTTTACATCCTCTCCATTGTTCACCAAGCATGCAGAAGGCATTCAGATAATGCTTTAGCCATGGCTGGTACCGCCACCTAATGGTGACAGAAGAGATGGATCTATAATCCAGTTTGTATGATTATTGAAATGCAGTAACTTTAGAGCACTAGTTAGCTGTTAAAAGGTAAAGGGGCAAACTTAACATTCTTTCCCTAAAGTTATCTGGTAATTGACATTGCTGTTTTTGTCTTTGAAGAACATTTTCCAAAGGTTTATATATTCCTGGTTGTTTTTAATACCTTTTTTGGCTGATCTAGTGCACATGTATGTTTCCTTTTTAGCGTATACTTTAGAAGAACAGAAGAACCTCACAGTCTGTCCTGATGGAGCACTTTTTGAACAGAAGGGTCCAGTTTATGTTGCATGTCAGTTTCCTATTTCATTACTTCAAGCATGCAGTGGTATGAATGATCCTGATTTTGGCTATTCCCAAGGAAACCCTTGTATTCTTGTGAAAATGAACAGAGTACGTACATATTTTACCTCTGCTGCTGCTTTTTTTCTAGTATTCTCTTTTAAGGAGGCAACTATTTTTAGATTGTTTGGGTTGGGTTAATGGTAAATAACTTATTAAAAGTTATCATTGAGGGGGTAGCTTGCTTTAAAGGCTAGCAATAATGTTTATTACTCACTGGAAGAAAGTTTATATGGCAAAAAAAAAGAGGTTCATAGATTAATCATGGAGTAAGGAGTTAAAGTAACTTAAACTTTTCTTCTTTGGAAACGCCTACATGCATTTCACCAGATTAATGCTCCAAGTGGCAAGTGTTCTCCTTGTCATAACCAAAGCAGAGTCTTGTTAGGGTGCAGTGCTCATCTTTGAATCCTGTGTTGTGAAATAATTTAAAATTCTGCAGACTCCATAAAGTTTAAGCTTATTTAACTTTTTCGAAATACTCAGTAGCGAAGCATAGTTTTATAGTATATGTATATGTGTATGTAATTAAGTAACAGAAATACAAATAAATCCCATTCTAACGAGTTCAGTGGGATGTTGCACTTGTATCCAAAGTAGCAGCATTTTGCTGTTTTACAGAAGGGCTCCCTGAATTGTATAGTAATGAGCAAAGTAAGAAGCTAATGAATTAGGGTCATTGTGCAACAGAACCTGATAACAGCTTTTCTTGAGTCACAAAGTGATCCCTAGCCCCTGTGCCTTGCTGCTCTGTAAATGTACTTCAGAGTTGTATTCTGATGCACTTACTGTTTTGAGGCCTGCAAGGTCTGAGTGAAGTCATTCCTGGTCATTTAAACAGGTGTAGACTTCTCAAAATCATGAGTTTATAAGTCATCATTGGTGAGCAAATTGCCACCAGCCTTAATAAAAGTAAAACTTGAGTCTTTTGAAGTTGGCACTGCTAAATAAGGAGCTTCCCTGTAGGGAGAACCAGCTAGGCCCTGAGATGCCCAGACTGACACCCCTCCAGCCTCTCCTTCATCCCTTTGGGAGGCCTTGGATAACTGACAGCTTCCAGATTGTCCCATAGCATTCTAGGTGCTCAGTAAATGACTGATGGGATGTTTCAACTAGACTTTATTCAGAAGTAAGAATTGAAGTTAACAAAGTAAGCTGAAAGTAATGTGAAACTAGATCTAGTTTATAAAATGAATTAAGTTTGTTTTAACAGAGATGCCTTTTGTAATCCCAGTCTACTAGAAGTATCCTCACAACATCTAGGTTGCTGAAAATTTGTTCCCAGTAGAAAGCCAGGAGAGGATCAACCTCGGGGGTTTGTTTTTTTTCCCAAGATGGCCTCTTTGAATGATAATGGTCTGAGACCATACTTGCTGATGACTCAGGGCCTGGCTTTGGCAGGAGGACAGCATCAGACACAGGAATCAGTGATGAGATGAGCTTATGTAGTGTAGCAGGGGGTTTCATACCAGTACAGTTCCCAGTTAGCACTATTGACATTATTATTAGGTCACAACAATACTTGTCTTTTGAGAGCAATATTTAGATTTTACATGCATTCACATGGAAACTGCATATAAATTCAGAATGCCAAAAAATTATCTCACAAAATGTATAAATATGTTAGGATTCAATTCTGTCACCTACATACATGAAAGGAGTCTTAAAATAGGGCTCTCCCAGGGTGTGCCTTTTGGGGAGCAGATGGGTTATGAGATATAGTGAGGCTCAGTGGGGCCCTCATGGAAATATGGAGAGTGTGACCTAATATAGTTTTGTGAAGAACAGTTAATTATTGTGCCTCTGCAGTTCTTATTATTTACATTAAATTATTTGTTCATATAAATACTAATAATTAGATTTAAGGGTTTCTGTTTGTTTGTTATTTTAAGGGTAGCAAAGGGTACTTTTGTTTCAGTTAAATCTTTGGTAATTGATTTATTTTCTAAATTGCCCAGGACAGTAATAAGATACCTGATTGCTGAAGTTATTTTATTTAAAAGTTCATTTTAATCCCCTCAAATAAGAGTAAAGTAAAAGGCAGATGTAACTCACTGGGTTAATATACAGTTGGTGTTAATCTCAAAGTCTTCATCCCTTGTCCCCAGCAACAGAGGGAGGAAGTTCCATTGCATACTTATGTGATGTTTAAATTTATCACTATTTCTTAACCTTAGATAATTGGATTAAAGCCTGAAGGAGTGCCAAGGATAGATTGTGTTTCAAAGGTTAGTATTCAAAAAATAACTCCTGTTAAATCTTTGTTTCTTAAAATACTTTAAAAGTCTAAGGATTTAGTCGTCTTTTTTCTTCCCTGTCACATTTTAAAGTCCTTTGTAGTGCCTTAGAATAAAATTCCACCAACCTTTTTGAGAGTAGTCTTTCTCTTCCTTAATGATAATTCAGAAAGACATTTTCCATGTGTATTTGATTTTGCACACATTGCCTTTATTTTCACATATACCATATTTCATCAATTCTAAGATTTACTTTTTTTCTGCCAGCTCAGTAACACTGAAATTGGGATTACCCTTATAATTGATGGTGTCTTAATACTGTATCATGACATTTTTCTCTTTCTTAATAGTTTGTTAGTTGGCATGCTAGCTATCAATGCTATCTGAGATTTAATGAAATATGGTACATTTTCCTTAAGGTAGAAGCATTATTTATCTCCCCTGTCCCTGCTTAATGTTTTTTCCAGAATACTGTGCAGTTTTCATCTCATAACTTTCTTTTGTTTTCTCTCCATGCTGCAAATGCCCCTAAGACAAATAATGTAAAAGATGGGTAAGAGTTCTGAGGAGACATTAAGTTCTAAACTTATCATTGTGCTAAATATTAACATTTCAACTCCGATAGTAGGACAGAAATATTTTACTTAAAATGTTACATTGAAATCACTTTTAAAGTTGTGAAAAAAAAATTCTTTTTACTGTTGATGGGCTTCTTATTTGGGCAGAAACTTCTTGCTCAGTGGCTCTCAAACGATCGTTCATCAGAATCACGTTTGCTTGTTGGGCTCCATTCCCATAGTTTCTGACTCAGTAGGTCTGAGATAGGGCCCAAAATTTGCATTTTCTTTTTTTCTTTTTTTGTTTTTGTTTTTGAGACAGAGTCTCACTCTGTCACCCAGGCTGGAGTGCACTGGCGTGATCTCGGCTCACTGCAAGCTCCGCCTCCCGGGTTCACGCCATTCTCCTGCCTCTAAGTAGCTGGGACTACAGGCGCCCGCCACCACGGCAGGCTAATTTTTTGTGTGCTTTTTTTTTAGTAGAGACGGGGTTTCACCGAGTTAGCCAGGATGGCCTCAATCTCCTGACCTCATGATCTGCCCGCTTACAGGCATGAGCAACTGCGCAGGCCCAAAATTTGCATTTCTAACTAAAGTTTCCAGGTGATGCTGATGCTGCTGGTCTGAGGCACACATTTTGAGAACTCCCGATTTGGAGTGTCCTTACTAATATTTTAAGAGTATTCACTATTTAGAGTAGCATAAAAAGCCAGGAAGTTTATGGTTTCTCATCTGGGTTGAAATTATGTGTGTGTGACCACTGGCAATTCACTTTACCTCTTTATGCCACAGACAGCTCAGTGGGAAACTTGTACAAAAGGTCAGAGTCGGCCGGGCGCGGTGGCTCACGCCTGTAATCCCAGCACTTTGGGAGGCCAAGGCGGGCGGATCACGAGGTCAGGAGATCGAGACCATCCTGGCCAACATGGTGAAACCCCATCTCTACCAAAATACAAAAAATTAGCCGGGCGTGGTGGCGGGCGCCTGTAGTCCCAGCTACTCAGGAGACTGAGGCAGGGGAATCGCTCGAACCGAGGGGGCGGAGCTTGCAGTGAGCGGAGATCAGGCTTCTGCACTCCAGCCTGGCGACAGAGCGAGACTCTGTCCAAAAAAAAAAAAAAAGCAAGCCAGAATCTCACTTAAAACCAGATACCACATCTAAGCTGAGCTTTGCTTTTCTTTCTTTCTTTCTTTTTTTTTTTTTTTTTTTTTATATGGGAACGGAGTCTCGCTTTGTCGCCCAGGCTGGAGTGCATTGGCGCGATCTCGACTCACTGCAAGCTCCGCCTGCCAGGTTCACGCCATTCTCTGTCCGCAGGCTCCCGAGTAACTGGGACTACAGGCATGAGCCACCTCACCCTGCTCATTTTTTGTATTTTTTAGTAGAGACGGGGTTTCACCGTGTTAGCCAGGATGGTCTCCGTCTCCTGACCTCATGATCCGCCCGCCTCGGCCTCCCCAAGTGCTGGGATTACAAATAAGCCACCACGACCGGCTGAGCTTTTCTTGATACATTCTTATAAAAATCTAGTGGGCAGCATATACTGTCAGCTCTCAAGTCAGAACATTATAGCTACAGGATACATTTAGAAAAAATGTTGGGTAACCCTTCATGAGCCTCAGGGCTGGCTCACAAAGCTTTCTGGTAGGAAGTTCTTGGGGCTTGGGTGCTGGGCTTCAGTTGGGTAGAAGTGCTAATTTCATGACAGTGCGCCTGTATACAGGAGCCTGTGAGCAGGCTGCATGGATTAGCTTGCATGGAATCCTGGGTCTACAAAGCCAATATCACCTGAAAGGAAAACACATTCAAGCCAGAAGCGCAAAAGCTTTAAATTATTTTCCTAAGCTTTAAATTGTGTAAGCCTTTGGCCAGTATAAACAATTCCATATACCTCTTCCCTTAAGATGTGTGGTTTTTTGTTTTTTTTTTTTTTTTTGAGACGGAGTCTTTCTCTGTTGCCCAGGCTGGAGTGCAGTGATGTGATCTTGGCTCACTGCAACCTTCGCCTCCCGGCTTCAGGCAATTCTCCTGCCTCAGCCTCCGGAGTAGCTGGGACTGCAGGCACGAACTACCACGCCTGGCTAATTTTTTGTATTTTAGTAGAGACGGGGTTTTACCATGTTGGCCGGGATGGTCTTGATCCCCTGACCTTGTGATCCGCCTGCCTCGGCCTCCCAAAGTACTGGGATTACAGGCGTGAGCCACCGCGCCCAACCCCCTTAAGGTTTTAAATGCATTTTTCTTGTTGTTTATCTATTATGTATCCTTCGCTTCTAGAATAGTTGGGGGGAGTGTTAATGAAAAATCCAGATTTAATGATTCCGATTTCTGTTAGCTTTCCCTTTTGCTTTGGAGAGATATGTGTGAAGTACATAAAATAATCAAAGCAGGTGGGTTTTAAATTTTGTTTATTTAGTTGTGGAATTTTTTTTTTTTTTTTTGCTTTTAGAAAAACACAAAAGTGGAAGAAATGTTTGTAAAATCTGGCATTTTATCCCTAGGCTAGTTACAAGTAACAAACCAGTTAGAACCCATAAATTTTAGAGATGTGGCTCTCCAGAACAGAAGGAAGCATTTACTGCGTATCATAATTGCAATTTGCTATTAGATTTGTCTGTATCAAGTGTTCTTTAAATTCTTTAGTTCTTTTTCGTAATACGTCTTTTATTTGTCTTGTATTGATTTTGTTCTGCCTTAATTGCTTTTATACAAGTTAGAGTCCTGAAAATACAAACACTGACCATACTTGGAGGTGCTTTTTTTTTCCTCTCTCTCTCCGTAGAGACAGGGTGTCACCATGTTGCCAGGCTGGTCTTGAACTCCTAGCCTCAAGCAATCCACCCGCCTCTGCCTTTGAAAGTTCTGGGATTACAGGCGTGAACCACCGCAGGTGGCCAAGGTGGCCTTTTAATATATATCAGCTTAAAAGATGATTCCTGCAAAAGGTGTAATGTTCATATTTATGACATTTTTTTCCCAGTATTTTATTTTATTATGAAAATGAATCATATTAAAATCAAAAGTGGGAAGAAACAAAATGCATTATTTTTTAAACTCCATTTTGTTTTGGTGGAACTTAGTGACCATCAGGAGGTTCTTAGAGTTAGTTGTTCATAGTTTACAATATGATACTATTGCCCGGCATGGTGGCTCACACCTGCAATCCCAGCACTTTGCGAGGCCAAGGTAGGCGGATCACCGGAGGTCAGGAATTCGAGACCAGCCTGGCCAACATGGCGAAACGCTGTCTCTACTAAAAATTTAAAAATGGCCTGACGTGGTGGCACGTGCCTGTAATCCCAGCTACTCGGGAGGCTTAGGCAAGATAATCGCTTGTACCCAGGAGGCAGAGGTTGCAGTGAGCCATGATTGCACCACTCTACTCTATCCTATGCAACAGAGCGAGACTCCGTTGCAAAAAGAAAAAAAACATGATGTTATTCATATACTTAGAAAATTATGACATATATGCTTCACCCTGAGTATCTCATTATTCAGATACTCATTTTAATATTTCACAATTTGTAAATGTTTATTTTCACAGAAGGTATAAATTAAAAGATTAAGAAAAATCCTGCCAAGAGCATGGTTTAGGCCCACACTGAGAGAGCAGTTGAGCGTCTGCCACACCTGGTGGTCTTGAGCACCTAGCTTAACTCTGAGCCCCAGTGCCCTGCTCTGTCATTGATGCTGCCCACTAAGACTTGTTAGGCCTGAAGGAGGGAAGTGTAAGCTAAGTGTGGTATCTGGTGGGAAACACTGGGCTGGGCGTGGTGACTCATGCCTGTAATCCCAGCACTTTGGGAGGCCGAGGCAGGCGGATCACTTGAGGTAAGGAGTTCAAGACCAGCCTGGCCAACATGACAAAACCCCGTCTCTACTAAAAATACAAAAATTACCCATGCGTGGTGGCACACACTTGCAATCCCAGCTATTCAGGAGGCTGAGGCAGGAGAATCACTTGATCACTTGAACCCAGGAGGAGGAGGCTGCAGTGAGCCGAGATCGGGCCATTGCACTCCAGCCTAGGCAACAGAATGAGACCTCTGTCTCAAAGAAAAAAAAAGAAAGAAAAAGAAAACACACTCCAAGGTACTCTAAACTGTTTCTCAAAGAAAAACCTTTTTTTCATTTTGGGGAAATGCGTTCTGTAAATGAAGGTCATATATTAAGGTAAAATAGGTTCAACAAAAGCAATTAATGCAGAAAAGCACTGATATCAAAGTGACTAGTTTTTCTCTAATATAAAATGTTATCTTTGATTTTAAGCTTATTTTTTAAGTTAAAGAGTACAAATGAAGGGTGGAGTTTGAGTAGTGACTGAAAATTGCTTTTGCGATTTCTCCTAGCATTGTTACTTCCTGCCCTTTGCAAATATTCTTCATCTGGATCATTAGAGCTTGTCTGGTGGGTGGGGCGCATCACCACTCTGTGCTTTGTGCTGTCTGGCCAGTGCCTTTCATCTGTTTCTTATCCCACCCCACAGCCATATGCTGCTTCATAATGAAACGAAATGAGCAGAATCTACAACTCCTTAGAGTGGATTCTTAGTTTTGTTTTATGCTGTTTCATGTGTGCTTTCAACCCTGTCTCAAAAAAGTTTTTAATATATAGATATAAAATTCAAGTATTTAATAATGTTTTATTGTAACTAGTGCTCCGTAAACCCAGCACTAATTTTAATCATTGTGGTCCGTTTGCTACTACTCAGTCTGTGTTAAAGTTAACTCATTAGAATTAGGCCCATTTGGAAAGTGTTACATGCGAATTTTCATAAATTGCTAATTTATCATGAATGATACTAGAAATAACTAATAGCATGAATGAATTGGATTATAGGTGGTGCTTGATTTATATGTTGATAAGCATGGAATATGTTTATATGTGTTGGTAAACATGGAATTCCAGGAGACAAGTAATAATGATTTGTATATGCTCATAAATTTATCCCTGAGAAATACAGTATTTAAATTTGTCGAGAAGAGTTTTGCTGGGAGTACCTTAAGTTTTCCCTCGTGCTTCCCTCTGGTTGCAGTTCTGGTTGTTAATCACATGAAACTGACACCTGCTGTCTCCCAGGCCTGAGTGCTGCATTCTAGGTTGGCGCCTCGTGGTGGCCATTGCTTTCCAGTCTGGAAGCACAGTATTTTCTTCATTTCAGGAAAACACTGGTCCCAAACCTGCTAGTGCATTCCTGCTGTTAGTAGGTAGAAAGGCTGGCATTTGGTATTTGGAGGGCAGGTAAGATTTTACCGGAGTACATGAGTGGAACTGGCTATAATTAAGAAGGGACTCGCATGAAAAAGAGTATAGAGTGTATCTGGAAGCATGAGAATCAGGATAGTTCATGTGGAAGGGTTTAGTTAGATAATATTTGCAATCAAGATGAGTAAGTTTCTCCTCAGAAGTACACTTGTAATGATAATATAGTAAGAGCAGCATTGTAGTTTCTCCAAACTGTTCATGATTGATACTGCTTTAATTATAAACATAGTTTTTAGAAATTCTTTTTGTGACCCTAAAGAGGATTTCTTTTGTTTTCAACTTTAGAATGAAGATATACCAAATGTAGCAGTTTATCCTCATAATGGAATGATAGACTTAAAATATTTCCCATATTATGGGAAAAAACTGCATGTAAGTATTTAGAAGTTTGTATGTGGTAATTACTCTTTTGGGAAGCTGGAGCATCTGTGGGCGTACCCCTTATCTGGGGTAGGTAAGACCCAAGCCCTGTTTAATGTGTGCATCATCTGTTCAGGTTTTGTTTTATTTTAATGATGATGGTAAATGGAATTCCCACATCTACAATTCAGAACACAGAACCCAAGAAGATAAATTAAAGTTAGATGATTATTTCTAAAATGTCATTTTCTTTTTCAATATAGAGGTAGTAGTATATGCGTATGTAGAGAAAGTAGAAAAGTACTTAAAAAGAAAATCAAGGCTGGGTGCGGTGGCTTACTCCTGTAATCACAGCACTTTGAGAGGCCAAGGCGGGTGGATCACCTGAGGTCAGGAGTTCGAGACCAGCCCAGCCAACTTGGTGAAACCCTCTCTCTACTGAAAATACCAAAATTAGCTGGGTGTGGTGTCGTGTGCCTATAGTGCCAGCTGCTCAGGAGGCTGAGGCAGGAGAATCGCTTGAACCCAGGAGGTGGAGGTTGCAGTGAGCCAAGATTGTACCACCACAGTCCAGGCTGGGCGACAGAATGGGATTCTGTCCTCACCGTCCCCCCAACCCCCGCCCAAAAAATAAAATCAAGGCCAGGCACCATGGCTCATGGCTGTAATCCTAGCACTTTGGGAGGCCGAATTGGGCAGATCACGAGGTCAAGAGATGACCATCCTGGCTAACATGGTGAAACCCTGTCTCTACTAAAAATTACAAAAAATTAGCCGGGCATGGTGGTGGGCACCTGTAGTCCCAGCTACTCAGGAGGCTGAGGCAGGAGAATGGCATGAACCTGGGTGTTGGAGGTTGCAGTGAGCCAAGATCGTGCCACTGTACTCCAGCCTGGGCAACAAAGAGACTCCATCTCAAAAAAGAAAAAAAGAAAACCAAAAGCTCATTGCGGCTGGGTGTGGTAGCTCACGCCTGTAATCGCAGCATTTTGGGAGGCCGAGGTGGGCAGATCACCTGAGGTCAGGAGTTCGAGACCAGCCCAGCCAACATAGTGAAACCCTCTCTCTACTAAAAATACCAAAATTAGCTGGGTGTGGTGTCGTGTGCCTATAGTGCCAGCTGCTCAGGAGGCTGAGGCAGGAGAATCGCTTGAACCCAGGAGGTGGAGGTTGCAGTGAATCATGCCACAGCACTCCAGCCTGAGCGAGAAAGCAAGACTCTGTCTCAAAAAAAAAAAGTTAGTGGACTAGTGAGTTACCATAGGAGTGGGACTAGCGGCTTTATAAGAAGAGGAGGAGAGACCTGAGCTAGCAGCATGCTCAGCCCCCTGGCCATGTGATGCCTTGCACCACCTCAGGACTCTGTTGAAAGTCCCCAGCAGCAAAGAAGGCTCTCACCAGATGCAGCTCCTTGATCTTGGCCTTCTCAGCCTCCATTAACTGTAAGAAATAAATTCCTTTCTTTATAAATTACCCAGTTTCAAGTATTGTGTTATAAGCAACAGAAAACAAAGACGATAACCATAGTACAGTTAACAAAGGAAGGTAACATATAGTACTCTTATGAATCTGTAGACTTCATTGAAAATCCATCAGTTGTTGCAGTAATATTCTTTATAGTGAAGTACAAGAGTGTTTTCCTGATCCAAGATGTCACACTGTTAATATGTTTAGCAACCTATAGTCTGGAATATTTCCTCAGTCTGTTCATGCCTTTGTACTCTTCAAGAATAAGTACAGGCCTTTTATGGCTTATTTTATGTTCATTAGTTTGAGTTTGGTGGTTTTTCATGATTAAATATAGGTTGTGCATTTTGGCATGGGTGCCTCAGAAGAAATGTTGAGTTCTCAGAGTGTCAGGAGGGACATGGTATCATTTCGTTCCATTAATGGTGATATTACCTTGATTGCTTGGTTAAGGTGGTGTCAGCCAGGTTTCTACAATATAAAGTTACTTTTTTTCCTCCGTCATCAATAAGTATCATGTGAGGAGAAAATAAAAAAGCTCGTTACTGCCTGGCACAGTGGCTCACGCCTGTAACCCCAGCACTTTGGGAGGCTGAGGTGGGCGGATCACCTGAGGTCAAGAGTTCGAGACCAGCCTGACCAACATGGAGAAACCCGGTCTCTACTAAAAATACAGAATTAGCCGGGCATGGGGGCACATGCCTGTAATCCCAGCTACTTGGGAGACTGAGGCAGGAGAATCCCTTGTACCTAGGAGGCAGAGGTTGCAGCGAGCCTAGATTGTGCCATTGCACTCCAGCTTGGAGAATAAGAACAAATCTGTCTCAAAACAAATTAACTTAAATTAATAAATAATAATAAAATCTTTTAAGTTCCATAAAGTAGAAATACATTACAATTACAATCAATGCATTGTGATTACAATGCAATAAAGCTAAAAATTATTAAAAAGACCCTTCTATATGGGGGGAGGGAAAAGTGGAAACTGTCTCTTAAACAACTTACAGATGAAAAGGTAAATTAAAATCAAGATTATAGAATATTAAAAATTAAGGCCGGGACAGTGACTCCACTCGTTGTAATCCCAGCACTTTGGGATGGCTGGAGGTGGGAGCGGATACAAAGGTCAGGGTAGAGACCTCCTGACCACATGGCGAAAACTGTCTCTACTAAAATACCAAATTGCTGGGCATGGTGGCCCTCCTGTAATCCCAGTTGTCAGGAGGCTGAGGCAGGGAATCGTTTGACCCGGGAGGCAGAGGTTGCGTGAGCCGAGATTGCACATTGCATCGCTGGCACAGAGTGCAATGTCTCAAAAAAAAAAAAAAAAAAAGGCTGGTTTTTGCGGTGGTCGGCCTATATCCAGCATTTGGGAGTCCAGTGGGTGGTCACTGAGGTCAGGAGTTCGCAACCAGCCTGGACCAATTTAGTAACAATGGCAAAGCCCATGTTCTACTTAAAAATATAACATTAGGCTGTGTATGGTGCGTGGGCACTGTGAGTCCAGCTACCATGGGAGACTTGAGGCAGGAGAATCGCTTGAACCTGGGAGGTAGAGGTTGCAATGAGCTGAGATGGTGCCACTGCACTGCAACCTGGGCAACAGACTCCATTTCAAAAAAGAATATTAAAAAATAATGATAAGGGTAGGGTGCGGTGGCTCACACCTGTAATCCCAAGCCGTTTGGGAGTCTGAGGTAGATGAATCACAAGGTCAGGAGATCAAGACCATCCTGGCCAACATGGTGAAACCCCGTCTCTATTAAAAATACAACAGTTAGCTGGGCGTGGTGGCGGGTGCCTGTAATCCCACCTACTTGGGAGGCTGAGGCAGGAGAATCACTTGAACCCGGGAGTCAGAGGTTGCAGTGAGCCGAGATTGTGCCACTGCACTCCAGCCTGGGTGACAGAGCAAGACTGCGTCTCACAAAAAAAAAAAAATAATGATAATAGGCTGGGTGTGGTGGCTAGGATCATGCCTTGTAATCCTAGCACTTTGGGAGGACAAAGCAAGAGGATCACTTGAGTTCAGGGGCATGAGCTGTCACACATAGCCAACATTTTTATCAGTAATTACAGGTATGAACTTATGGCTCAAAAAAATTAAAAAGAATGCAGAGAACAGAAAATAATAGATCTAAATTATTTTATTATTATTATTTTAATTTACAAGCCACATGTGGTGGCTCACACCTATAATCCCAGCACTTGGGACGGCATGGTGGAAGGGCCATTTGAAGCCAGGAGTTTGAGACTAGCCTGGGCAGGGAGACCCTGTCTCTACAAAAAAATTTAAAAATTAGTGGGCTGTGGTGGCATGCGCCTGTAGTCCCAGCTGCGTAGGAAACTGAGGTGGGAGGATTGGTTGAGGCTTCAGTGAGCCATGATTGCACCACTGCACTGCAGCCTGGGCGACAGAGTCTCAAAAAGAAAATTTACAGAATAAGCCAATTCCTGGTAGAGAAAAGTATAAAGTTTCCATAGAGTTTGAATTAATGTCTTTTCCTTTTATTGCCAGGTGGGATATCTACAGCCATTGGTTGCTGTTCAGGTCAGCTTTGCTGCTAACAACACTGGGAAAGAAGTAACAGTTGAGTGCAAGATTGATGGATCAGCCAACCTAAAAAGTCAGGATGATCGTGACAAGTTTTTGGGACGAGTTATGTTCAAAATCACAGCACGTGCATAGTATGAGTAGGATATCTCCACAGAGTAAATGTTGTGTTGTCTGTCTTCATTTTGTATCAGCTGGACCTTCCATTCTAGAATTATGAGACCACCTTGGAGAAGGGTGTGTGGTACATGACGCTGGGTTACATCATAACGTGCTTCCAGATCATAGTGTTCAGTGTCCTCTGAAGTAACTGCCTGTTGCCTCTGCTGCCCTTTGAACCAGTGTACAGTCGCCAGATAGGGACCGGTGAACACCTGATTCCAAACATGTAGGATGGGGGTCTTGTCCTCTTTTTATGTGGTTTAATTGCCAAGTGTCTAAAGCTTAATATGCTGTGCTATGTAAATATTTTATGGATATAACACTGTCATATTTTGATGTCAACAGAGTTTTAGGGATAAAATGGTACCCGGCCAACATCAAGTGACTTTATAGCTGCAAGAAATGTGGTATGTGGAGAAGTTCTGTATGTGAGGAAGGAAAAAAAAGAAAATAAAAGTGTATTTGAAAAATATTATCTTGGGTTCTTTGTAAAATTTATTTTTTACATGCTGAATTAGTCTGGATCTTTTTGATTAAGAGCACAAACGTTTTGTTGTAAAACCTGTAAAAAAAAAAAAAAAAACTGGGATTAATTTTTAGTGCTGGAACTGTCTCTTATAAAGTATTTTAGGCTGTAGATAAAATAGCATTTTTAGGTTAGCCAGTATGACTATGCACCTAATTTTTTATGAGATTAAATTCATAAGACTTAATTTGTACAATAGTTTGTGAAATATCTTGTTACTGCTTTTATTTAGCAGACTGTGGACTGTAATAAAGTATATAAATTGTGAAATATAAACACTTGGAACTTATTCAAATCTTCAAAGCAAACAGCAGTTGTGTGTAAGCATTCTTTCCCCTCCAGTATTAGGTGTGTTCTTGGTAGGATTATTCGTCATAATTTGGGTTACTTTGTTGAGAAAGTTGTGCTTCCCATATGATCTGTGGTGATTCTTGGTTTTTCTTAAGGCTATTGTTTGTTGTTACTTTTCTCCTTTTTTTTAAAAAAAAAAAAAAGGCCATGTGCAGTGGCTCATGCCTGTAATCCCAACACTTTGGCAGACCAAGGTGGGTGGATCATGAGGTCAAGAGATTGAGACCATCCTGGCCAACATGGAATCCCATCTCTACTAAAAATACAAAAGTTAGCTGGGCGTAGTGGTGCGTGCCTGTAGTGCCAGCTACTCAGGAGGCTGAGGCAGGAGAATTGCTTGAACCTGGCAGGTGGAGGTTGCAGTGAGCTGAGATCACGCCATTGCACTCTAGCCTGGTGACAGAGGGAGACGCTCTGTCTCCAAAAACAAAAACAAAAAAATGCAAAGGAGATATTCTTGAGGTTTTGTTTGTGGTGGTACAAGCCAGAAGGGGTGGGACCCAACCCAGCTGGCTCAAGAATGACCGTTTGGAGTAAATGTGAGGGCTGTGGGTGGCCTTGCCTGGCCAGATGGGCCATGGTGGCCTGGTGGCAGCCTCTGCCCTTTGCTAGTGGGCACTCAGCCCCCCGTGAGAGCTCTGTTTGTCCCTCTGTCACTAAAATCATAGTGATAAACAGATTTTCACTGAAGGAAATTATTCTTGGAGTAATTACAGCAAACCTTTTCTGCGTTTTGATTTTCTTTATGCTATCGCTTAAGAGTGTAAACCAAGGATAAAAGAAGGCTACAAGGTGAGAGAGGTGACATGACTTTAGTTGAGCCAGTGTGACCTCATCCTCAACAGCTGTAAACTTTGGTGCCTGTGAAATTCATATTAAGTATTCTATTAAATTTGCATTTTTGAGTCTTTTGAAGTAAATGTGGATGGAATTTCTGTTTTAATGAGCTTAGATAAAAGACTCATTCTCAGAATATAAAAGAAGAATTGAGATGGCATCCAACATAAGGTGGGTTTTGGAGAGAAACAAAAATGGCACACACGTAAGTCACCAAAGCATCTTGTATGCCTCCCCGGTTCAGAAGTTTGGATGTGGATCAGCCCCTGACTGCCCAGTGATCTTAGCTGATCTCCCCAACTTTTCCTGGCTCTGCTTGCTTCATCTATCGAAATTAAGGGAGTTTAACAACAATTTAGCAGACCTGCTATATACCAGGACTGGAGCAGCCAGACTGAGGTCTCTCAAGAGATCTTAAAAATACAAAAGTTAGCTGGGCGTAGTGGTGCGTGCCTGTAGTGCCAGCTACTCAGGAGGCTGAGGCAGGAGAATTGCTTGAACCTGGCAGGTGGAGGTTGCAGTGAGCTGAGATCACGCCATTGCACTCTAGCCTGGTGACAGAGGGAGACGCTCTGTCTCCAAAAACAAAAACAAAAAAATGCAAAGGAGATATTCTTGAGGTTTTGTTTGTGGTGGTACAAGCCAGAAGGGGTGGGACCCAACCCAGCTGGCTCAAGAATGACCGTTTGGAGTAAATGTGAGGGCTGTGGGTGGCCTTGCCTGGCCAGATGGGCCATGGTGGCCTGGTGGCAGCCTCTGCCCTTTGCTAGTGGGCACTCAGCCCCCCGTGAGAGCTCTGTTTGTCCCTCTGTCACTAAAATCATAGTGATAAACAGATTTTCACTGAAGGAAATTATTCTTGGAGTAATTACAGCAAACCTTTTCTGCGTTTTGATTTTCTTTATGCTATCGCTTAAGAGTGTAAACCAAGGATAAAAGAAGGCTACAAGGTGAGAGAGGTGACATGACTTTAGTTGAGCCAGTGTGACCTCATCCTCAACAGCTGTAAACTTTGGTGCCTGTGAAATTCATATTAAGTATTCTATTAAATTTGCATTTTTGAGTCTTTTGAAGTAAATGTGGATGGAATTTCTGTTTTAATGAGCTTAGATAAAAGACTCATTCTCAGAATATAAAAGAAGAATTGAGATGGCATCCAACATAAGGTGGGTTTTGGAGAGAAACAAAAATGGCACACACGTAAGTCACCAAAGCATCTTGTATGCCTCCCCGGTTCAGAAGTTTGGATGTGGATCAGCCCCTGACTGCCCAGTGATCTTAGCTGATCTCCCCAACTTTTCCTGGCTCTGCTTGCTTCATCTATCGAAATTAAGGGAGTTTAACAACAATTTAGCAGACCTGCTATATACCAGGACTGGAGCAGCCAGACTGAGGTCTCTCAAAAGATCTTAAACTAGGAGGGAACGGCCTCTGAGACACAACACGTGGCATGATGATGGTGATGGCGGTTATATGCGAGGGGCCGTGAGGTGGGGAGACAGGATTATTCCAGAGGCCCCACCCTTCCCTAAAGTTTTATTTTTGTGAAAGGTCTCTAGAGACAGGTGGTGCTTGAAGAGTGGCCGGGAGCTGGGTCTGTATGGGCCGGGTAAGGACTGGACTAGGAACGAAGGATGCCTGGACACAGCTGGAGTCCGCCTTTCTGCTGCTGATTTTGGGTTTTCCTCAGGATTTCAGGATGTGCTCACAGATCACCTGGGTATCTCATTAAAATGCAGGTTCCAGTTCGCTAGGAGGGATTCTATAGAGGTAGCAATTCCAAGGTAATACCTACCACTGCTCATTCACAGACCACAGTTTGGAAGGATGCAACCAGTTTTGCATCCTTGGCCGTGGAGCCTAGCACCAATTTGATTTAGTAGATGGAGAAGATTGAGCCATCATTTGACTTTAGCTGGTACGTGGAAGTGTGTGCACTCCTGCTAGCTGGCCACCTGTCTGGGCGGGAGAATCCTGAGAATACCGGAAGACTGCGCCACTGGCCCGTGGGAGAACCCGAGTGGTGGTGCTTCTGGGGTTGCTGCCCGGCAGGTCACATTCCCAGGTTGTGCTGAGGGAGTGTGGGGTGAAATGAGATGTGTCCCCACGTTTTTCCACACGAGCGTTGATGATCCTTTTTTCTGGGTGGCTGAGAACAGCTGGGGATTGTGTGGAAAGCTGGAGTTTCTTGCAGAATGTTGCGCGTCCTCAGGTAAGAGCTCTTCAGGGGCAGGAGGGAACTGGGATGTGCTGAGAGGCTGTATGGCAGCATGGACAGTGGGCGATGGCTAGATGGGATCAAACAGCCAGAGCCGGGGAGGAGGAACCCAGTGGGGTGTGGCCGGCGGAGATGGCCGAAACTTCAGCTGGAGCGCTTGAAACCACCCTTCAGAGGCGATTCATCCCGAACTGGACCTGCTGCTGATGAAGTCACTGTGGTAGGCAGAATTTCGGCCCCCATGACCTTCACCTTCTCGGGCCGTGCCCGTGGTTACGCTCTATCACGTGGCAAGAGGGGCTTTGCAGCTGAAATTAAGGTAATTGGTGGGTTGACCTTAAAATAGGGAGATTATCCTGGATTATCCAGCAGCCCAATGTGATCACGGGAGCTATAAGCAGAAGTGAGACCTGAAGCCTCTGGGTTTGGACACATCCTTGCTGTTTTCGATGTGGCCGTGTGGGAAGTGGAAGGAAGTGCATTCTGCCAACAGCCAGCGAGCTTGGAAGCCAGATCCTCCCCAGAGCCTTCAGAGCCCAGCCCTGAGGCCCTGCGTAGAGTACCCAGCTGGGCTACATTGTGCCCAGACCGCTGACCTACAGAAATGGGAGATTATTGTTTTAAGCCACCAATTTCGTGATCATTTGTTATGGAGGCAAATAGAATGCTGATATGGTCATCTCAGTGACGATTACTACTCCAACCCACTGCTTCTCAAACCAGTCTATCAAGGGCTCATGTTTGAAATGCAGATTCTGATTGGACAGTGCCCAGGGTGGGGCCCGAGATTCTGCTTCCTAACAGGCTTCCAGATGCTGCTGTTGCTTAGAGGGCTACATCTGAGCACAAGGCCCTTTTGTGTACGACTGTGGTTGGTGTAATGCCTGGAATTCAGAACCCAGGTAAGGAAGGAGGAAGAGGGATCTGAGAGAAGAAAGGCCTGGGATAGAATTTGTTCAGCTACGAAATAACACGGAGGCTGTGGAGAGGTGCCCTGTGTTGGGCCCCTGGCTTTCAGACACTCAGCTTCTGAGACCACTGGTGTGGTCTCAGAGCTTGGGTATGGATGGGACATTTTCACTTCCTTTGCTATTTTCTGTGGCCCCATGGGAGGACAGGGGCCTGCAACCATGAGTCCAGCTTCCTGAGGATGGCATGGTTCGGGCCTATTAATGGGGTCCTTGTCAGCACCCTCTTGCTCCTAACTGAATGGGTGAGGTTCTGGGGGCCACTGGCTTGGAGATGAAGTGAACTCAACTCATCTGTGCAAAGTTGCTGTCATGTCATTTAGTGAGATTTCATTTAAAAAATTAATTTAGGGCTGGGTGTGGTAGGGCACACCTATAATCCCAGCTACTTGGGAGGCTGAAGCAGGAGGATCGCTTGATCCCAGAGTTCAAGACCAGCCTGGGAAACAGTGAGACCCCATCTCTTTAAAGAAATAGTCAGGCCGGGTGTGGTGGCTCACACCTGTAATCCCAACACTTTGAAAGGCCAAGGCGAGTGGATCACTTGAGGGCAGGAGTTCAAGACCAGCCTGACC